ATCGATAAAACCCTATTTTTAAGACGGATTCCGACTTTGCAGACAGACACTTAGACTGAAAGCGAACTCTATTGGTGTGTTACACACAAAAACTTAATGTTTTTAAAATTTGGTTGGTTCGCTTTCTTATTGAAACTGTTAACCAGAAAATAAGTTCTTATTCTTATAAAAAATACATTTTAAAACATCGATGTTGCAATTTTCGCAACAATAGTATGGCTCTACGTCTATCATTTTCTCAAATAAGATTTGGGAAAACCCAATTCTATGACAATTTGAATCGAAATTATCTGTGTAGATTTTTTCGATTTTGGACATAAACTCAACAAATTCATTGGGAGGACTAACAAGGTGGCTATTACTAAGTTGCTTCTCCATAGTGAAGAAGAAATCTTTTTCAGTAATTCCATCTTCAAATCTTGGTAATGGCATTAAGCAATTATGATGCTTGAAATATTTAAAATACATGTAGCCGCAGAAGTAAACAAAAGCGTTTCGATGAAGAAAACTACTTTCATCAATATCAACCGAAATATCGATTTGGACATCTTGAAATGAGCTTAAACTAGGCCAGGGTAAGCCTTGAAATATTTGCCAGGAAGTATCTCTCATCTAATATACCCTATACCCCAGGCTTGCCTAAAGAGATATGAGAAACGCTGCGGCGTTATTCTCACATCAAAGGACCCCCATCTAGTTTATCACTTTTGAGGAAGACCCCTATTATTTATTCAATAACAGAACAGAGGAAATAAACAACAAGAAAATAATATTTGTTCACAATTATGAGCACTGATCTGGCATTTTGTTCAAGTACGTGTAGGAATGAAATACAATAATAAATTTTCTTCTAAACGACACCAACTGGTACATACGATAAGCTGACTGTTTTTCTCTCTGAAAACCCGAATTGTCTCAAATTTAGTGACTTGAGATGACACTGGATTATTGAATACCATCATAACTCTCAGATAATAGGTTTGTATAGTAACTTCTCCAGTAAAACATTGCAGCGAGAGCGTAAAAGCAAAATAGAGCGTAAAATTGAGTAGAGAAAACTAGCAGAAAAAGTTAATGAACACAACACTAGCAAAAACTTGCAAGTGAACAGTCATTGCACTGTTTTGACATTCTGCTGTAAACATTTTACTATTTATAAATCAGTCTTAAACTCTTTGCTTTACACACAAGCACTTACGCAGTCACAATATTTTGATTTAAACTCCTTTTCCTTTTGTTTGTGCCAAACCAATTCAACAAATGGCGGCTTTTGACATTTATTCTTCTTCTTCCGCTAGCTAATTTCTGCTAGTAAAAATTTCACTAGCAAGAATTTGCAGCTCTCCCGTGTTGTTACGCTCTCGATTCAGTGCTCTCTTGCAAATTTTTTGGGTTATCATACACTTTTCCAGTAAAAATTTGCAGGTTCCAGTACAAATTAGTACTGGCTATTGGTTACTATACAAACCTAATATTTATCACAGCGCACGGCAGTGCACGCGAGTGACGAAAGCAGCCACAGTAGCATGCTGAAATATTAAGTATACTTACATTTTGTCTCAAAAAAAATTAAAAAAAAATATTCTCAATTTATTAAAAACCATAGTTTAAAATTGTTTTTATTGATATTTCTTGTTCCTTCGAAACTCGATAAAATTAAATTTTTCTTTATTTGGAATAAAATTATAATTAAAAAATTATTCTGCAAAGCAACACTTTTCTGTAATTCCAATAAACACAGAACCCTGTTTCATCTTTTTTCGGAGCTGCACAAAACCCTGGTCACGAAACAGCACCTCGGAACCCTGGCGTTTCCCGTTATTTTTTCCCGAATTAGCTCTGATCCAGTACTCCATGAACTTACAGGATTTTACACGAACTTGCAGGAAGTTACAGGAAAAATGTTCCCGTACTCCGAAATCCTCCAAAATCCTGTAAATGAGAGCGACTTTTGGAGAGTTGTGTAGAGAATGAAGTTGCAAGATTTTACCCGAACTTTTTCTTCTGGTAATATCATGAAAACTGTCAAGCAATCACTGGTTGACGTTTTTACAGGAAAAATGGTTTTTTTGTTCACGTACTTTTTGTTGTTACTCACTTTTTACTCTCACTTCAGAGAGTAATTTTGCTGTTTGACAGTTTTACAGGATTTTTCACGAAAAGTATTGGATCAGAGCTTTTATTTCATTCGGGTCGTAGTTTTGCAGCTTCGGGCCGTTCGGTTTTGCTTGCCATATTGGCTGCCATATTGTTCACACTGTCATCGCCATATTGAACACCCTGTCAACTATCTGTCAACCCTAAGATATCTCACTTGTATTCTTCCACAATGATCACAACTAATATATAGTCTGTTCCTTTGAACTTCGGACTAAAACCTGTGGAACTGTCAAACTACAATTTTACGCTCTCAAATGAGAGTAAAAGAAGAACAGATGCAGAAGTGCATAGGAACGCAAAAAGCACTATTTCCTGTAAAAACGTCAGACGGTTTGTTTACATGTCATTGGTACTACACTGATTTGGCTGAAATATCACTAAATAATTATTAAAATCTATACATATTCAAATATTTCGTTGTTTACTTCCATTTTTTAACAAATAAAAGGTTCTTAGCTTTCACCGCCTTCAGTTTTTGTTTGCACATGTAAATCAGCTCATCGTTTGACACTTTTCATGAACTTACAGGAAAAAAAACTCCGGACTAAATCCTGTAACTTCTGACTAGGAACAGTTGCTCAGTTACTCTCTCAAATGTGTTCCCACTTACAGGTTTTATGTCAATAGGAACGACTTCCTGTAAGTTCTGACTAAATCCTGTAAACCGGACTGCTATTGGAACAGACTAATAATTTTAAAATTCAAAACTCATTCTCACACATACATTCTCATTTTCAATCTCAAACAGCAACTACGCTGCAAACCATTTTTTCAGAGTATTCTGCATTGTAAAGAAATTTTAAAGAATTCGTTAAGATTTAATTCGATTTTTTGCCGAATTTTCTAAAATGAAATAAATTACGCACACTTCCATTCTTTTACGAAATTTCGGAAGAAAATCTGTGAAGCAACGAAAATAATGGTGCTATGTGAAGAATTTCTTTCAGAATTTTTCCAGAATTTTCTTTATTTTTCGTACAGAAATTTCTTTACGAGTTCGTGTCAACCACTTCTTTGAAAATTCGTAAAAAAATCGTTACAGAAATGAGATACACCTAACGATTTCCTAAAGATTTCGGGAACTTTGGTTTGCAGGGTAGTAACAATTAAATTTTTTTATTGTCAATTTTATATTATTTTAAAATGTTGGCAAACGTCAGAAAAAAAATCATGGCCGACGAATTGAGAATGAATTTACCTTGTAATGTTTTTATCATGGTTAACATGATAAAAATATTTAAATGTTTTTATCATGATTGTCGGTAACTTTTATGCATATTTGTAACACTCTTGCTCACATCTCATCAAGGAAAAAGAATACTTATGGAAGCATATCTATTTCTTCTATAATCCATTTTTGTACAACTAAGCGTAAGGATCAGCTTGTGGCTTTTGCCTTCTTTTGGCTTTTTAATCCAAAAACGTACGTTTTATACTAGTATTCTCTATTATTAAACGTACATGTTCATATTTAAACAAAATAATATTCGATGCATATATTCTAGCTAATTGCTAATAGATAAATGGGAACAAATGCAGTTTGGCTCCAAACCTCAAATTAAAAAAAAAAAATTTTGGGATCGATAGAGATGATGGAGCTGAGTATAACGGTATATTTTTCTTTTTTTGGGGGGAAACAACAACTACAAAAGGTTTAAAGGGCAAGTTAAGTTATTTTTGAAATCAAGATTCCATAAAAACGATGGATGGATTTTGAAAATTTGTATCGCATTTGATAGGAAATCTAACAAACGATATTTTTTTGAAATCACCCTATTTGTTATAAGATTGAGTTGTACAATTAAATGGAAATGCTGTCAAGAGTTCTCACTGTACAAAGTATTTATATAAAACAACCCTAGTCTGTCCAACATCGGCTACGCTATACAGTATTTTTTCACAAAACTCCTTTTTGCGTAGGCGGCCTTTGGTCGCGATTAGGAATTGTAAACCTTACTACGCAGAATTCTCCTTTCTGTGTTGCTGAAAAAGAGCTGAACTCCTGCGTAGGCGGCCTTCGGCCGCGCTTAGGGATTATAACCCTCACAAAGTAGAATTCTCTTTCTGTGTTGTGAAGAAAAGGCACTGAACAACTTTTGCAGAGAAAACCTTTCTGCGTAGACGGCCTTCGGCCGCGCTTAGGAATTATAACCCTCACAAAGTAGAGTTCTCTTTCCGTGTTGCGATGAAAAGGCACTGAACACCTTTCTGCGTAGGCGGCCTTTGGCCGCTCTTAGGGATTATAACCCTCATAAAAAAGAATTATCTTTCTGTGTTGCGAAGGTACTGAACACCTTTCTGCGTAAGCGGCGTCGGCCGCACTTAGGGTTTGTAAACTTTTTTATAATTATTTTACATTGATTCAATTTTTGTAAGAACTACATAACATATATATAAACTACGTATAAAATATTAAAGAGAATCAAATTTCCTATTAAATGAGATCAAAATTTTCAAAATCCATCCATTTGTTTGAAAGAATTCTTGGTTTCAGAAATAGCTTATTTTGAACTTTAACCTTTGATAATTCTTGTCGTTGTTTCCCCAAAAAAAGAAGTATACCGTAATACTCAGCTCATTCATCTCCGTTCCCACGACAGTCGGGTCTACGTAACCGGAACGACCCAGATTTATATCTGGCCAAGGACTGTCACTCCAGCAACACTCCCCAAAAAGTCTTTGGGGAATTTGTATGCTGCTACAACAACAACAACAACATCTCTATCGATCCAAATATTTTTTTTTTTTAATTTGCGATTTGGGTCCAAACTGCATTTACGCCAATAAATGAAGTCGTTATACCCTCTAAGGAAATTTAACAACTCAAATAAAACATGTAATATTTCGCAAAAATGTTATTTTATTTAAAATTTTTAAACAAATTTACTTTTTGGACTTTTTCACATCTTTACTAGCATCATCAGGATTATCAGCATTTTCCTTGGCCCGCTTAGCACGAATACCAACCAGACGAGCATCAGACCGAGCCTAAAAATGTAAAAAAATCCACACGTACGATAAAAAAAGTAACACTTATTAGATAAACTTACTTTCCGCAGAGTAGCGAATGCCTTGAATTTCTGTTCATCCTTAGCGATCTCACGGAATTCAATGAGTGGCTGTTCCTTCTTAATTGGCATAACTGTTCCCTTGAGTTGAGTAGCCAATTTGCATTCTTCCAGGTTAGATTCGCCCTTACGGATCTTTTTTTCATTGATAGGGAACAAAATTAATTTGCTCTTGTACTCCTTCAAGCGCTGAATATTTCGTTGACGCGATTCCAACGACTTATTCTTGCGTCTCTTATCTACAGAAACACCAATGGTTCTGGCGAATCCATATGTTAATCCGGCACCCTAATCCATAGAAAATGAAATTATGATCGACCTGAGCTTTAGAAATGTTTGCTACCTTCAATTCTTCGAGAGTAAATCCGCGTCCTGCACGTAATTTGGTGTGATAACGGATAGTTGGGCAGCGCACAACAGGGCGCAATGCTTGTGCCGGACGCGGGAATACAGCTTTAGCTTTCTTGACGCGATTTTGGCGTCTGCGATATTTGCGTGCAGGCTGATTGAACCATGTCTTCACGTTCCGCTGCCACCATTTGTGAAAATGAGCATTTGGAATCATATTATTTCCCTTACCCATCTTTGCTGTTTAAGTCTACATGATAAATATAAAAATAAAGAACAAAGTCAATTCAATCAGAACAGCAATTTTCTTGGTTATCAGCCAACAGTCCACGTGGTCAAGAGTAGCAAATATTTTTAACATAGCAATAACAAAATTAACTTATGTCTCTCACAGGCACAGCAAAATTAAGTCATTCTTAACATCATATTAAATTACGCTATCATGTCGTGACTAAACAATACACAAAAATTGGAAAATAACTTTTTACGAACCTTTCCTACCCAGCAACGAAATAAAAAGGAGAATAGGGATGAAACGATACAGGTAAATACAAGTACATACTCGGTACTATTCGTTCGATACCAAGTAATTTTGGTATCGATACTTTTGAACCAAGTATTGAGTAGGTATCGAAAACAAATATTTGTAACGAAACCAAATACTAAAGGGCTGACTATAATATGAATAAGCAAGCGTATGCAAATGTGCGAATAAACATAAATCCTATTCTGAAACTATAATGTACTTAACAAGGCCGTATTAAGGGGAGGAACTTGTAAGTGTTCTGACCGACCCCAACGGCCCCCTTCCGAAATATAGAAATGTAGGATTTGCCTAAAAACTCGAAAAAAGGCAAAATGAGCTTTGAAAAAAGGAGAAAAGGCATATATTCTTTAATTTTGTTATGCACTTCCTTAATGTACAATGTGCATGTTCCATTAAAGATATTAAAAAATACATACAGTGGTCAAAAACTTATAGCCGAACAACTTTTTGTCAAGTTTCAACGTATCATTTTCGTTATTTCATTTTGGTTATTTTTTATAAAAATATTGTTCATTCTTTAACAAAACCCGTGTAAATCCAAGT